TGGACCCTTAATCCATTTATAACTTTCTTAGATCAAAATCTTATTTAGCTTTTTGCTGTTTCTTTCAAATTCTTTAAGTTCTTAAGCTTATAATTAATTTTTCTTTTGATCACAGCTGAAGATAAACTCACCTGATGACTTTTTAAATTTGTCATTCCGAAGGTCTCTAATAGTTTTAAAATGTAATAAACAATTTCCAAAAGTGATTAGAAAGTGAGGCTTGCAAATTTATTATCCTTTAAAAGGGTCCACTGCAGTTGTGAGCAAGATGGCTGGTCCCTTCATCTCCTGGTGATCAAACCTGTGGAAAACTGCTGTCTGGTGCTGAGCAGCCATCTGGAGTACATATGGGTGATCTCCTATCCTCTCCTTGTCCAGAGAGGTTCTGAGGTCTACTCACTGGTTCCTCAGTCTTTGCTGCGGTTATTGGCTCTGCTTTCGTGGAGACATCTTCAATTTGCCATACCTCTCTGGGATGTCCAGATTTGTTGTGTTTCTCATGCCTTTAATATCTCTGGCTTCATATTTCTTATTCCTGTTCTATCCTTTGTATAATATTGCTTACTCCAGAAGTGTAAATGTGTGTATGTAAGTGAACCAGTTTGGTGTACTGGTTAAGGCATCAGGCTACAACTGGGAGACTGTGAGTTCTAGTCCTGCCTTAGACACAAAGCCAACTGGTTGACCTTGGGCCAGTTACTTTCTCTTCCAGCCCTAGGTAGGAGGCAAAAGCAAACCCTTTCCAAAAATCTAGCCAAGAACACTGAAGGGACTAGTCCAAGTGGTTGCCAGAGACAAGACTGACTTGAACGCCTGGTTTAAGGATGACCCATAGTTAAGAATGGAGCCTACTCTAGCAAAATTTGAGTTAAATACACAACAATTCGAGTTAATTACACAATACTACTTATACAGTATATACTTATACAATACTGTTCTGGCTTACATACAAATTTGACTTGGGAATGGAACTCATTCTTAAACTGTATACTGCCTGTATTCTGAGCACTGTGAAAAAACGGCTGTCTGTCTGTCTGTCTGTCTGTCTGTCTGTATCTATCTAAAGGGGAGAAGGGTAAAAGCCATTCTGAGAAAACAGTTGAAGCCTTTTTTTTTTTTTATAAAAGGAAAGCATTTGAAAAGAGTAGGAAAACTTTGGATGTTATCAGAATGAAGTGTTAGGAAGAGGCAAGAGAAATAGGAAGTATTCTTATTATTCTAAAAATGGTGAAAAGGGCATATTGACTGGCCATAATTATAGTTTAAATTCCTGAATGTAATTAGCTAGAGCTATAGAAAGTTAGTCGTTAAGTGAAACATACGCAGCTAGTGAAATTAAGCTTCCGTACCTCTCAAGATGTAATTCTGGTAGTTCTGGTCTGCCTCAGCTCCCACTTTTATTAAACAAGCCAGGCCTTCTGCTACAACAAATTCATGAACCAAATCCTTGTCATCCTGTGAAGGAGGAGACAGGGGAAAAAAGACAAATGATACATTGTGTAATATACTGAAAATATAAGAAACCTACATAAGTGTGTACAGGTAGTCCTTGTTTAGCAACTGCCCTGTTTAGCGACCATTCGCAGTTATGACAGTGATGAAAAAGTAATTTTGCAGCTAATCCTCACATTTACGACCTTCGCAGGTCTGTAAAGCAAAGGAAAGCTGAAGTAAGATCATAAGCACAGTTGGGTTTCACTTACTGACTGCTTCGTTTAATGACTGAGTTGCCAATCCCAGTTATGGTCACTAAACGAGGACTATCTATATTACAAATTTCTCATTGCTTCATGGATTTCTGATATTGTTTCAGATGAAAATTAGTGTTCTGTGTTGATATGATCACTCTTCAATAAACCCATTTACCCACAAACTAGGATGAAAAAGCTCTTTGGTGTTCAAGAATGTTTAAGGGAGGGGAGATGTATCATAGACTAAATAGCATCAATAAGCAGTTTGTCCCTTCAACTTCCCTTAACTGCAGATGCTTTAGACAAAATAAAAAAGCCATATTATTCCCCTCCTTGTCTCCACATGCAAAGCTTTTTATGCATGTAGTGTCTTTTGCTCTCCTCTGTGATACTATCTTTCTCCTAGACTTTGGTAGCAACTAAACCACCATCACTCTACTCTATAGACTGAGAGTATATTGAAAATCTTCCAACCCCTTGTCTTCTTTCATGCCAACTACACATATATTAAAAATAATTTAAATAGATAATTCAAAGTAACTTAAATAGATTCTCTAGACTGAGGGACTGGCAAAGAACAACTGCAAATATCCTTTCTATTTCCCACAGTAACTTTCTTTCGAATTTACAACTATATTTTCTTTCTTACCTCTCCTTTCTGTACCATAAAAAACAAAACAATATAATTTATTTTCTCATTTGCAGATTTATTAAAATGTGGAAAGTAACAGTTGCATTATGAAGAGTAACTGTAAGAAAAATCTGCATTATTTTAATTTAGGGCTGTTGTATATGGCTACAAAATTCCATAAAACCACAAGATGGCAGCACAGAGATAAGGAAAACTATTTGGATTTTTGCAGCTCAAATACAGTAGCTCTTTTTTTATATTCTGATTTTAACAATACAAGCTTGTTTTCTCTGCTGGATTTTGCAAGATTCACACTGTCTCTTCTATTTCTTTATTAAATTTATATAGCCGCCCATCTCACATACGTGACTCTAGGTGGCATACAATAAAACAATCAGGTAAAACAATGATAAAACAATATAACAATCAAAAAATTTAAAACAACTTAAACACAGATATAAATAGACCACAGTGGAATGGACTAGCATCCTACACTGTTATTATATTTAAGCCTGGGCAACCACTCCCGCACTTGCCTCCAGGGCACATCCTCACCTCTGAAAATGATATGAACCATTGTGTTGTTCTAGGTATTAGGCACAAGTTTATCTGAATTTTGGTGCATTAACTAGAAAGGAGGGCTTCCTATTGTCTAACACGAAAAACTTATAGCTGTTTATTGATCAAAATGGGATGAAATCTGAAGGGCATTAAGAATATTGTAAACTTCGTAAATATCATAGCAACTCGTATAGGGAACTGTTCGTTTAAGTGCCTATAACTTTTTTCTGAGAGAGGAAAAAAAGGAACAAAACTTGCAGAGAATGAATTGGAACTGACTGCTGGGGTTAGAAGCAGGGGAGGTGGTTAGCAGGTCAATTCACTTATCTTTTTCATATAAAAATATAATCTTGAATCCAGTAATGTAAATAAGACAGTCACAAGATGGCTTCTCAGGGCATTTAAGAATTATGTGTCATTAAGTCGTTGTCGATTCTTAGTGACCACATAGACTATGATGATCTGTCCCTAACGTGGTCTTTCAATGGTGGATCCATTGCCAGTGTAACTGAGCCTAGCCACCTTGCTGCTGGCTGTCCTCTTCTCTTTTCTTCCACCTTTAGAGCCTTCTCCAGAGGCTTAGGTCTTCGCATAATGTATCCAAAGTAGGATAATTTGAGCCTGGTCATTTGCGCCTTGAATGAGAACTCCAAATTTATTTGTTTGATGATCCAGTTGTTTTCTTGGCTGTCCATGGTATTCTCAAGAGTATTCTCCAACACCAAAGTTCAAAAGAATCAATATTCTTCCTATCCAGCTTCTTCAAAGTCCAACTTTTGCTTCCATAGAGCATCACAGGAAATACCATGGTTTGCATGATTCTGATCTTTGTAGGTATAAATACATCATAGCATTTGAATATATTTTCCCAGGACTTCATGGCTGTTCTACTAAGTACTAGTCTACAGTGTATTTCTTGACTGCTTGTTCCTTTACTGTTGATGATTGATCCTGAAAGCAAAAGCTATCTTCATTGTCAATTCTAAGGCTGGTTGTTCAACCTGTTGTCATTAGTTTGGTCTTCTTTATATTTAATTTTAGTCCCATCTCTTCACTGTGCTCCTTGACTTTTATTACTACACCTTGCAGATACTTTGCATTTTCAGCTATCAGAGTAGTGTCATCAGCATAGCACAGGTTATTGATGTTTCGTCCTCCAATTTTAAAACCATGCTCATCTTCTTCCAGTCCAGATTCCCTTAATATATATTCAGCATATAGGTTGAATAAATTAGGGAAGAATATGGCACTCCTTTGCCAATTTGGAGCCAGTCTGTTTTGTCATGTTCTGTCATACTGTGGCTTTCTGACCTACGTATAAGTTTTTCATGAGAAGAATGAGACGTTCTGGGATTCCCATTATTCTAAGCAGATTTCACAACTTGACATGACTGACACAATTAAAGGCCTTTCTGTACTCAATGAAGCACATACTTACCTCTTTTTAATATTCTTTGGCTTTCTCAATTATCCAGCATGCATCAGCAATAATGTCTCATGTTCCTTGGCCTTTCCAAAAGCCAGCTTGAACATATGATGTCTTTTTTTCCATGTAGGGCTCTAATCTGCATTGGATGATCCTAAGTATTATTTTGGTAGCACGTGAAATTAAGGATACTGTATGATAGTTTGCACACACTGTTAACTCCGCTTTTTTTGGTATTGGAATGTAGGTTGATCTCTTCTAATTTGTTGGCCACTGTGCCATTCTCCAGATTTGCTGGGATAATTTAGTTAGAACCTTTACTGATTCTTCTTCTGTTGCTTGCATTCTGTGGGTATTCCATCAGTTCCTATAGTCTTCCAACTTGGTAATGACTGGAATGCTGATCAAACTTCATCTAGTTCTAGGGGTTCTTGTAAGTAGGGAATATCTTCTAAGGTATATTGGATGCTGACATCTCTATTGTACAGTTTTTCCAGTATACTTAATTTAAATCTGGTTGGCTTGAGTAGTGATTCACCTGGTGGCAGTAACCTTGAAGAGGTGCCTTTGGGTGCAATACAAGAGGAAGGATTATATCCCTTGGTAGTGTTATGGGCCTGCTCTTGTATCACAGCAGAAACAATTGTGGGGAGGGGTTGTCCTACCTGGCTTCCTGGTGAGAGGTGGAGCATTGGAAACTGTTATCTAAAGTGATAGTTTGGTTGTCACTTTAAGGAACAGAGTCCATTTGGTGAATGTTAAGGAACAAAGTGTTCTTGACAATTCCTCATTATGTTGGACTGAGGGATGTCTATGTAGTGAGTGCAGCTGTGTGTATGCATGTGTGTTCGTGTGAGTGTATGTGTGTATGTATCTAGATATCTAGATATCTTTTTAATTAACAGAGCTGTTTATTATCTTATTTTGGATCAATGGTGGGGGGGGACAAGATGTTCCAATTATGGAATCTGGGACAGCAATCACAGCAGCATGTGGAGTAGAAGAGACTAGCAAGCCATTGCAGGGAAGGGAGATTAGGAACAAATTCTCCTTCTGATGGCTTCCAGCCCCTCAAAGAACCTGGACTTACTCTTATGTAAAGTGGTACTGGTTCAAAATAAAAGAAGAGGTCATACACAGGTTTATAGTAAATGAAAAAGACAACCTGGCTTGCGTAACAAGCAACCTGGCAGCTTATCTCAGTTGCACGCTATAGTAAGGCAAGTCAGGGAAGGGTTGCTTTGGCTATTTCTAATAATGATTCTGTCAATGCCCTGGTTAGTATCTGGAATAGAAAGCTTGCTCTTTGAGCTGCTTGAAAGATGACCCTGTAATACATGGATGAACTGAAGGAACTGAAGAAGCAAGATAGAGAACTAGAATGCAGATGGAAGATGACCTGACTCAAATTTGGTAAGATGCAGCATAAAATCTATGTGAAGGCTTACACTGTAAATCCAGAAAAGAAGCATTTTTTCCTGGACCCATTGAATCTGCAAACTCATGGGCTCCTGACATTTTTTTAAAAAATAAACTCCACTGGAGTTCTGTCTGGTATTAACTGTCTGTAGTTGCTCAGGGCCTTTTCCCCTCCATTTTTGAAGACAGGAACAACATTTGCCCCTTTTTCAATCCTTTCATTTTATGCCTGTACTCCACAGATAATCAAAGGTCACACGAAGAGGCGCCAAGATAATATCTGTGAGCTCATTTAAGCTTCTTAAGACATAATTGATCTGGTCTTGGAAACTTAAACCAGGGGTTCTTTACTTACCTTAGGTTGCTACTCTCTTCTTTTGCTTACACAGTTTACCTTTGGGGAGAAGACCCAGGCAAAGCATGAGGTGAGGAGCTCTGTCTTTTCTCTTCACCAGTTACTATGCTACCCTCTTCTCCAAACTATGCACTTCCCCTTCTTTTTACTAATAACATAGCCAAAAAAGCCCTTTTGTTGCTTTTAACTTCTCTCGCAAGCCTATGTTCCTTTTGTGCTTTTGCTTTCTGACTTTTCCTGCAGATATCAGCTACTTGTTTGGTGATTCCATTTCCTATACACATCCCTTTTAACTCTTAGCTCAGCTGAAACCTACCTATGCATTCACAATACTTTCTTAAGCTGCCTCTCAATTTTTAAAATTGGGATGATA